TATTTCATACCCTAAAAGGTAAATAACCCATGCAAGGTGAGACATCCAAGGAGCCAAAAAAGTAATATTCTAAGCACATTCCCTGTTCTGTTATTTTCAGTCTCCTGCTGAACCATGCTGGTACCTGACACCGTGAGAATTAGGAGTTATAGTGTTTCCTTGGTGGTGAGATAGTTTCAGCTTCTCAGTCCTGTTCTGGGAGGTGACAGCGGGGAGGGCATGGTGGGATCTGAGTTCCTTCATCCAACAGGGCTGAGCAGAAAGTCCTTATTCTTACCTGAACTGGGACTCTACAAAGGAAAGGCACAAGGCAGCATCTGGATGAAACTGTGCAGTCGGGCTGTTTCTGTTAGAAGGGATCCCTGGGCTACATCCCGTGTTTGATAGCTGTAGCAATTTACTGTGATTTTTCTAAAAGAGCCACTCATCTTTGGTAAGTTATTGTTAAATAATTCTTATTTCTTCTCTTTGCTGCTGTGTTAGCAGTTTCTTTATAAATGTATACAATTGATTGACCAATAGTTCTGGATTTGCAAATCTTAAGAGTACCAAATACCTTGTAAAATGGTTTGCCAGAGTTAAATTTCTAATTTAATTGATCTCTAACATAGCTGAAGTTGTGTTATAATTGCATTTATTAGAAGGAATGCTCTTGTATGAATTAAATTTCAAGGAAGAAGTCTCAAAGTGTAAAGGAGTCTCTGTCCCTCAAATTACAACTTGAATTGGCTGTGGATGGATCTCCTTCTGGTATTCATTCCTGCAGCTGGGACATGGGATTGTACTGGATCCATTCTGAGTTTGTCTAATGAGTCAGGGTTCATGAGGGTTGGCTGACACATGTTCCACTCTAATCTCATCTGCTTTCATCTTAGAGAACTGTTAACATTTCACCTGGCAAATTCTTCTCCCCGCCAAACCAAGTGCAGGAAGCAATGAAACCTCGTGATGGACCAGCTGGCTCAGTGACTTTTGGGCCAAGTGTGCTGATTGGGCTGGTTTGGAGCTCTTCTGGCTATGGATGCATATGTTTTGTTGCCTCTCCAAGCCAGCACCCTCAAACATAAGAGGCTTTTTGTGATTGCTCTTTAAGCATGTTCTGTCCTTACCAGTTAACATCAAGGGATGTTGCCATCCTGTCTCTCGTATGCCTCTGTGGGATGAGGGGATTCTGTTTACTGTTCCTAGTTTACAAAAGCTACTGAAATTTCTTTGCCAGATACTGGCCTGCCATCTTCCCTAATCTTAAACTGATCAAGGAAATCCTTATTGACACAGAAACAGTGCACAGCGACTCAGGGAGTAGTTTAATATCAGAGTGCCTCTCTGGAAGCACTGCTTTCCCAGTGTTCCTCTACATTTGGTAATCATTTCTGCATCTTCTCTCCAAAAGTGCTCTTAAGATTTAAGGGCATCAATCTCATCTGCACATATTTTTCAAATTATAAGCCTGAAGTGAAGAAAGAACTAACTTTACTCAAATTCTGTTTAAAGGAAACAAAACTCAGCTTGTCAAAGCCTGATCCTTATGGGAGTCTTCTACACGTGCACGTCTTTGCTGTGCCTTCACTTGGCTGTGTGCAAACTTCTTAAAAGGATATGACTTCCCTGAGAGCTTTTGAGCGTGAGGATGCAGGAGTGTATTCTCACAGGTTTATCCTCCCATCCATCCCCCCCCCTTCGCTTCAGGGGCCCACATATGAGCTCAAGCAGCTGGGACATGGTTGGTCTTCTCCAGTTCTCCAGTTTGTTCTTGAGACTCTGTTGTGGTTGCAGCTGTCAGTCCAGCACAGCAGCCGTTGTAGCACCAAGGGCTTTTACCCAGTCAGAAAATGTGCAGAATATCATAATGCAGCTTTATTGTCTCATCTCCACTTGAGTTGTCTTCTTAGATGTGGGTTTTAGCCTGTGCTGCCATTCCTGGTTTGAAAAATTAGTTTTCTTTGTCCAGAGGCAGCATAAAAATTAAAATGTGAATAGAATATGAGGCTGGCAAAGATTAGCCTGTATTTGGCTTAATCTTTCTATTTCATACAGAACTTGTAGTTTCAGCAGTGATGGCTTCAGAGAGGATGTGGTTCGTATTCCCGCTATTCAGATGTCTCAATGCCAGTAACAGTCAATCTGTTTCTGGGCCTGGGTTTTGAAATGTTAAACTGAGCTTACTTTCTCTTGGTAGTTCAACACCAAGGGTTAGTTTTACAAGGATGGGGCTGTGGTGTTTGCCCAGCCAAGGGTGGTGTTCCCAGCAGCTGCAGACTGGGAATGTGCCTGGTTACTGCAGGAGGGAGGCTGATGGCTCCACTGAGCCAAGGCTCTCCATGTCCTTAACTGTTTTCCTTACTTCCCTGAATCCCATCAAATTTTGTTGATGTGTTATGCGAGACTGCCAGTGTGAACATACAATAAGAATTGTATACACTTTATCTTTGCATCCTTACATGTAACATCGTCTTGATGTCCATTTTCATACAACAGAGCAAATGTTGGCTGTAATGGATCCCCTTCTGAGATGACTGTTTAGATTTACTACAGGTTCTATGAGGATCTTAGAATTTTTTCCAAAAAAAAATTTGCTTATTCCTTTTTTTTTATGTTTTACTTCGTATTTTTGGTTTTTTGTTTTCTAGGTTATATTTCTCTGATTTTCCACACAGTTCTCTCGGACCTTAACTAAACATTTCCTATTTTACTGTTTGCTAAGCACTAAATTGCTTCCTACTTAGTACGTGACCTTGCAGAATATCTGCTGGTTTCTTGCCTGATTACCATTTAATTCTGTTCTTTGCCTTCTGTCCCATCCAGCATCAGAGTTGTGCCAATTCTTTGTTTTTTCAACAATAGCCAAATAATTTTTAGAAGCCTTTTGTTGAAAATCTGTAGAAGTATGAGTGAACTCTTAGCAACAGACTTTCTTTTCTTCCCATTCTCTTGATTGATGCATTCAGAGAGTCCCAGTGAGTCTGAGATCTGCTTTTCCTCTTCAGCTGCTGATTGGACTCGGATCTTTTCCAGCATGATCTTATTCCTCTTGAACTGCAGGTTCAACCAAATTGAGTGACAATTGCAGGTTTACAACCTTTCCTTTGCTTTCCAGATCTTGGTATAACATCAAGGTTGGGGGGGGTGTTATCCTTTTAAGTGGTAATTTTGCTTGCTGTGTGACTGTGTCATCTTTTATTGTGTGCATGTATCAGCTGCATATGGTAATCTTGTCAGTTAGTTTTCAATTACCAGTTTCTTACCATACCTTTTATTGATTTTGTTTGTAGTGACATTTCCAAGTGTGGTATCACCTCACCCTGTCTAAAAACCATGTCTCTTTTCATTTACTGTCCATGCCACATGTGAGAATCTTACTTTTTATAATTTTTTGTTAGTAATTCTGTGCATTTTGTTGAAATATTCCTTTCTGAAGCTTATTGTCACTGCATTATTTTGGGGAGCTTGCCCTCTCTGTGGATCCAGAGTGGGATCCTATTGTGGCTATTGTTAATGAAGAGCTGTGGTCCTTACATCTTAAATCCTTTCTGTTGCAAGACACTAGCTTAGCCCTGTGTTTTATAGAGCTAATTGCTTCAGGAAGCACTAATTTAAATGTGAATCTGTTTACCAGCCTTTATGGTAGGGGTTCCTTCCCATCTCCCTGTGATCAGACCTTCTACTCTTCGTTTTGCTTCCTTGATCTTACAGTGGGCATTATCACCTACAAAAATTCACATGCAGATATATAGACAGACCATGAATTTGTGAACTTATGTTGGTTTTTTAGCCATCTGCCTCCATGCCTGGTCTCACAGGTTTAACTTTAGTGTTCGTTGCAGGAGCTACTGTATCTCCCTGATGTTTTTGGCTCTGGGTCCATAGCGTGTGTTTTGTTACAGCCATTGTGCAATGGAAGGCAGTCTACATAACATCATTTTGCTTTTGGCTTTTTTTGTTGTACTACTTCAGCCTTAGCAGCTAAACACATTTGAGCAACCTGGTCTAGAGGATGGTGTCCCTGCCTGTGGCAGGAACTAGATGAGCTTTAAGGTCCCGTCCAACCCAAACCATTCTGTGATTCTATGACTAGCCCTACTGTGCTGATTTCTAGGCTTTTTCTGTACATGGAGTGGGTTCACCTTGGTTGCTAGCCAGTGCAGTATGTATTTGCCAAGACAACAGAGGCAAACCTGTGATTATGGGAGACTGGGAGCAACTGGATTCCCTGGCTGGCCATGTGTCTTGTCACTCCTCTGCTGCCAGAGCAGTGTTTTGAGTGTCCAGTGCCAAACAGGTGCATTTGAGCTACATCACCAGCTGTTCTTTAATTCCCCTCTCTGTTTTTTTTTTTGTTGTAATGATACCATTTCAAAGTTTAAACTACCTGAAACTAGGAGCCTTGTTATAGGACTCCACATGGTGAGGAAGAGATTTCTTTGAGCGTTTAGGGTCATACACTGGAAATACACGTTCATGTGCTGGTATATCCTGTGTATTCCCTTATTTCTTTTCAAAAAATGAGCAAGTGATAGTCAAATTCCACTTCCTTTGCATGTTATTTATCTTCCCACTCTTGAACAGGATTCAGATTGAATCTGATCAGAAACTGTTGTCCATTAAGTGTCTGACCACAGGTTATTCCAGATGAAGACAGCAGTTGCCTCTACCTGTATTTCCTGTTAGATTTGAGCTGGCTAAACCAGGTTAATCCCAGTGCTTTCTCAAGCTGTAGTGTTGTTTGATAGCAGCTGTTTACAAGATTAATAGAAGTGGACAAGAGATGAAAAATGTGAAGTTGGTCATAGAAATCACTGTTGGCTTTCAGAGGCAAACAGCTGCTTTGGTGGTGGGGAGGAAACAGAAATGATTCTTCATGCAAAAAGTAACATTTGCTAAAGGTGCAATTTTTATGAGCCTCATGAGATGATCTGAAATGGTGAGGACTGGCTAATGTGCTGCAGGCAAATGTATACGGGTCGAGTTATGTGTACACATATATTTATTTTTTCTTGTAGTGTCATCTAGACTGTCACAGACATCCTCTCCTCAGTCAGGCTGCCAGTCCCCTTCCATCCAGGCAGGCAAAGTCATCTCCTCATCCCAGAAGCACAGCAAGAAGGCACTCAAACAGGTAAGTAGCCTTTCCTGGAGCCTAGTTTGGGGACTGCTGCAGTAAATTTGCTTCTCCGGTTAATCATCTTGGTGAGACTGTGCTCTGCAGGGAAGTAACACAGGACTTCATGGCTGTCTCATGGTAAATAGAGGTTTGTTAAAACATTCCTCTCTCTTAGAGGTGATTCAAAATACTGTGCTGTTTAGCTCTTTTGCTTTTTCCCTTTATAAGCATTTGGACTTTTTAAAATTATTATTTTAGAAGATGGATATAAGATGTTATTTCTCTTCACCAAATCTTTTGATGAGTGTGCTTAGTTTTCTACAGTCTGTTTTATTAAAATGAAGGGGTTTTGGGGAAAAAAATTAAATGCACTGATTTCTTCCCCTGGCTAGCAGTGTATTTTCCCTTCCTAGGAGTTCTGTGGATATTATAGGTATATAGAGGTAAGAAAGGGAAGGAAAGCGCATTGGCTTTGCATTGCACCTCCGCTGGATTTAATGGAAGAAAGAGGGGGACCAATTATTTTCCATGCTTGAAGAATGACTATTGTATAGATAGTGTTAATTATGTGCATGCAGTGTAGGATGGGTGAGTGTCTGCACTTCAAATGATTTGTTTCTCCTAATGAAACATGCAAGATGAATTAGTTCCCCAAGTGCCTTATTTGCAGGTGTTTCCCCAACTGCATTGTTTGATTTTGCCTGATTCTTAGAAAGGAAATGCTTTATCAGGGTTAGCTTTACTCCTTGGTAAAGCAAAAATCTGTAAGGAATTATGAATCAAGCTGCATAGGAGGTGCTAGTCAAGGGATTATGGAAGCTTGTCATAGACAGATGAAATCATGATGTGTTCCAGATAGGATTTACCTTTTCTAGCCCAGCATGTTTTTCTGAGTTTAACCAGCTGAGAAGCAACACTTGGAATGGCATTCAGGTGATAGAGCTGCCTGTGGCCTTGGGAAAGGATCTCCAGTGAGAGAGAAGAATGAACTAGGGCACATTATCAAGGAGAATATTATAGTGGGAGATAAAGCAACTGAATAAACTGGAGCTTTGTTTCTAGCAATAGGGAGTTGAGTTGATGTCCAACTGAGATGCTGGCTTTAGGGAATCTTCTTTCTTTTCCCACCTGGCTGTTTCTTGACAGAAGCATCAGTGTTCCGATGATGTCGCTTGCTGCTGATGGCAGCAATAAAGAAGTGAGATTCTGTTCTCACTTCAGGCAGAATTCTTTTTTTCTGCTTGCCTTTAAATCCTCACAAAATAGCTTCTCATTAATTCAGCAAGATATTAATTACACTCTTTGCTTTCCCCTCCTCATCCATCCCTCTTTAAGCCTGGCTGGCAATCATTTCTCTCCAACATCCGCAAAGACTCTTCTCTTTCAAGAGAGTGATCAAACAGACTGCAAGTTTGCTATCAAAACTCTTTCCTCTCCTGCACTCAGCAGTTCCTCTTCATTTTCTCTGGTCTGTAGGTCCCTGTTTCATAGAAAAGGAAGGGACCTCTGCATAAACCCAAGCTACATTTCCAAACCTACACTCCATCTAACATTCTCTTCTCTTTCCAGCCCCCGTCCTTACATGCCTAATAATTTTCTGCTTTTCATAGAATCATAGACTAGTTAGGGTCATGTCCAAATTCCGCATGCTACTGCTCCCACCAGCTTTCCCTCAGCTTTTTATTCATTCCCCTCTCTCTGCTTTCTCACTCCTCTGCTCCTCAGCTTTCATACTCTGAGATATCTACTTCCTGAGCATCCTTATTTCAGTGCTGAATGTAATGAAGTATGTCAGAGAGTTCCAAAATTTAGATGGTCTTCTCAGTTTCACTGTTAATCTCCTTGATTTGGGGAAAAAATCAGAAACCCTGAAAGAAAATAGGAACCACATGGAGGCCTTGATGTCTACGTAGCATTTCTGTTTGTACTTAACAGTTGTGCAGCTGTCTGTAGTGCTAAAAGCTATTTCCGATGGTCATAGAATCACAGAATGCTTTGGGTTGGAAGGCACCATCCAGTTCCAACCCCTGCCCTGGGCAGGGACACCTTACACTAGGCCGGGTTCCTCCAGGCCCTGTCCCACCTGGCCTTGAACACTGCCAGGGATGGGGCAGCCACAGCTTCTTTGGGCAAACTGTGCCAGGGCCTCAGCACCCTCAGAGGGAAGATGTTCAACAGCACCGACCCCTGAGGAGCACTGCTTGTCACTGGTTGTGATCTTCTAAAGTTTGCTCTAGTTTTGGGTCAAATTAAAAACGTTGCATGCCTAAACCACTGCTTGATTTTAGTTTGAATGGAATTCTGCCATTTTGGTAATATTTCATATGGTCAAATATTTTGACGTATTTCAGCTTTTCCCAAACATGGTTGCCGCTGTGGTCAGGAAAAGTTAAAAAGAGTGAATAAAATGAAAAAAATACAGATTGCAAGAAGGAGGCAGGTGTTATAAATAGAGTAGCAGGAAAAACACAAGATCCTGAGTGAAACAGGAATTCAAGAAAGCTTTAGTGTTTTTAGTTTTGTCTGAGACCTAGCTTATTAGCTAGAGTGCACTGGAGAAGATGGCTGGTTGGGCTCAGCCCTCCTGTCTTGAGTGCTAAGTAATTGTAATTCTACTGGAAGGAAGAGAGAGCAGATTTCTGAGTGAGAACTTTTAACCCTGGAACACCTGCTGTTGCTATACTGACAGTGAGTATCAGGTTCTTGAAGAAATAAGGGTCATGATTTAGTTCATAAGCGTATCAGAGTTACAGCTGTAAAATACAGATTAATAGTATGGCATACACTGATGCGCCATCACCACACAGTGTGGTAAGTAAGCGGATGGCTGCATTCCTTATTCTTGTTGGGAAGAATCCTGAGCTAGAGGTTTCCAGTACCTGAATCTAAATTGGTGGACATGTCAGTGCTTATCCTGCTGGAAAGATAAAACAGTGATGGGGAGAAACCCCCTTTGCTGTTCTATCACCTTTTTCATGAAGGAGGGAGCTGTACAGTAGTTTCTTCCCTACTAGGTGGATCCCCCCCTTTCCAATGGGTTTTTAACACCATGGTCAGAGTCTGTGGGCAGGTGAAAAGCGAGAGGTTCAGGAGCAGCTCCTGGTCCTGCTGTTGTCACTGCCGTCATCCATAGCGGCGCTGGTGAGGAGTGTGCTGAGAGGACACCAGTTTCTTTATTTAAATTGCAGTCAGGTGCTGATGATACTAAGTGGTACCATTTTGAATTACACTCATTCTGAATTCACTCTTTTTAGAGTAAAGTGGAGGTTTCCGCCCTGCACAGTAGGGTTTACCTCAGAGCTGCCCTTTGTGCAAACACACCTGTGTGCTGAGAAACATTTGCCTTCAATTGCAGGCGGCACAGTGAGAACAAAGGACAACCTGAAGGCAAACAGAAGGAAAATAACAAGCCCCTGATTTGAGCAGAGGGGGCATATGGGGCAGCAGACAGAGCCTGAAGGAGAGCAGAGGGCTGGTTATGGTGGAGAGGTTGCTATGCTGGGGGCTCTGGGGGATACTCTGCTGCTCCAGGTCTCCCTGCCTATGGCAAGGGGGTTGGAGCTAGATGAGCTTTAAGGTCCCTCCCAGCTCAAACCATTCCATGATTCTAAGTATACAGCAGAATTTTAAAATGGGAAGTGACAGGAAGTGTGCTGTCTCTATCCGAATGAATTGGCCTGTTAACTGGAGACCACCACTGTGTTAATAATGCAGTTAGATCCAGGAGAGAGAATACTCGATCTGTTGTAATTTATTCTGCTGTTAAATTTATTTGGGTTTGGATTTCATTTTTTGAGAACAGACACTTTGATTTGGGTAGATGCTGCAATCTAACCCAATGCCTTGTTGTCTGTGCCTCCTCAGTTGTGTCATGGTTGCCTTAACAGTCTTTGCTAAAGCAGAGGATTTTCTTTTCTATTTTTCTAAAGCAAAGGATTTTATTTTCTTACTTCTAGTGTTTAAATGTTTGTTACTTTCTAAATTATCAAAGTCTTTTCTAATGGCGTGTTTTTTTAGTAAGGTAATAGTTACTTCTTCAGGAGACAGAACTTAATAGCATGATGGTACCTTTACTTTGAAGTTACTTATATAATTACTTCTTGAACCACCTCCAGATTTGGAATCCCCTAGAGAATGAAACAACTCAACCTAGATGTTCTACAACCATTAATTTTTTCCTTTAGATGCCAAAGGTAGGAGATCTGTCTGCTTGTAACAGTGTATTTAAATAGCCAGTATCATATTTAAACATGGTATTGGTGTCCCGTGTGAACTGAGTGTGTTTGGGAAGTCGCTTTTCACTTTTGACGTAGTTAGAATCAGAATCCAGCTATCAGTTGCTGTAAAACAAGTGGCTTGTACTGTGTACTAATAATTTCTAAGACTATTTTTAATTTCATTTTGGTCCTGTTCTTCTGTCCTCTTCCACAGGCCTTGAAGCAGCAGCAGCAGAAGCAGCAGCAGCAGCAATGCAGAGCAGGCATGCCTGTGTCGTCTAACCAGCACGTCCTTCTGAAGGCTGTCAAGGCAGCCAGCGACTCCACACCTGCAAAATCTGGTACGTGCAACGACAACTCTGTGTGCTGTTTTACTGCTGGGTCTCTTCAACTGGCCTTTTATTGTTTGTAGGGGATGAGAAAAGAAAGTGCTTCTTTCTGACGGTGTTCTTTTTGTTTCTGAAATAGTCTAGTTTCTGTTTCCCTGGATTTGTTTTTATTCAGAATTTGTTCAGTTGAGAATAGATCTTGAATAGAATTTACTCTGCCATTGTCTGGTGAAAAGCTTCTTTTTGTGATAAATGTGTTCCTTGTAGCTGCCTGTACGCTGTGGTCAGGTAGTTCTCATGGCTAAGCAAATGAGGTAGTTTTTCTCTTAGTATTTATGTTTTTCGAAATGGGCTTCTCATTCTGTAGCAAGTCTTTTATGTCTTGTTCCAAAGATGTATTCTCTGCTCGGAAAGATCCCCAAGAGGTTTCCAGCATTTATGCTGCATTAGAAATTGAGATCACTGCTCTTATTCACTCAGGAGTGTTAGTTGTCTTTCCACCAGCCGCATTTCACTAGTTATCTTAAATTGTTGGCAATTGCTTCCAGCTAGCTTTCTCTGGAGGCTTTTCAGGGTAACTGATTGCCATAATCTTCTGGTTCTGTAAGCCTGATTCAAGTTGTTTTCTTTCAGATGCAAGAAGTGCCTCTGTGTTTGTATAGGGCAATTTTCATGTTGTACAAGTAAATGACTTAGTAGACTAATGCCATCATTTTATGAAGCTACAATTTGTCAAGGCATCTATTTGGGCCTATAAGGATGCTGGGGAGGGACTCTTCATTAGCGACTGCAGTGATAGGAGAAGGGGTAATGGGTTAAAACTTGAACAGAGGAAGTTTAGATTGGACGTAAGGAAGTTCTTTACTGTGAGGGTGGTGAGGCACTGGAATGGGGTGCCCAGGGAAGTTGCGAATGCTCCATCCGTGGCAGTGTTCAAGGCCAGGTTGGACAGAGCCTTGGGTGCCATGGTTTAGTATGAGGTGTCCCTACCCATGGCAGGGGGGCTGGAACTAGATGATCTTAAGGTCCTTTCCAACTCTAACTATTCTATGATTCTATCTGTAAGCATTGCCTGTAGTGGCTCTGAACCACCTCCCAAATCATTGAGCACCAAAGCAGAACCATGGGCTTCTGAAATCCAACACATTTGGCCTGGTGACCTGGGTCCAGCAGTGCTGATGGCACATGTTTTGAGAATGTGTAATAGCAGAGCAGGTCCTAGTAGGACCTCCAAATCAAGAGGAAGTGTCTTTTGTGTTCATTGGACTGGGTGGGATTTTCTTCACTGGTTTTGCCTAATCTCAGGGAATGTTGACTTTGTAAATGCCTTGTGGCAAACAACACGTTGTGAAAACGACTCATTTTTGTTTAGTTTTGAGCCAGGCTTCTTATACCTTTATTTCATTTCTTCTCATTATCAAACAGGCAATGAACAACTGTTGTTTATTAAAAAAAATTGCCACTCATGACTTCTGTAGACATCTTTTCTTCAGTCTAAGGAGTCCCACTGTAATTTCTCATTCCTCATATGCAAAGCTCTGTGCTTTTTGCAGTAGAGAATGAAAACTGTACACGGTGTTCACGGTGCAGGACACGTTCTGCATTTGTATAGCATCATTTTAGCAGTCTACATTTTGTTCATCTTTTTTCTCAGCAATACCTAGCATTCAATTTTCCTTTTTTGACCCCATCAAAAGCAGGCATTTTCCTACATTACAGTTCTCAAACTCTTTCCTGAGAGTCTGGAAGAAGTTTTCTGTTGTAGGGCCTGACAGTGTGTGTGTGTAAGGTTAGGGAGTTCTTTTTTACATCACTTTGTGTTTCTGTACAGTCAAGTTGACCTTCTGGGCTGCAAGCACATACTGCTGGGTCGCATTGAACTTAAAATGTTTTTTTTTAGTCTGTAATCAGAATCTTCTCTTTCTTCCTTGGCTTGAAACCCAAGATTTCTTGTCCTATCCACCATGGACATAGAGAGCAGGTTATTTGATTTCTTCTCCTTGCCACCTTCTACATTATTAGAGATGCTTCTTCATCTCATGCTGATTTTCTTTAGGATAAAATTCTGTCTGTGTTTTGGCGTTTTTGTTTATTCTCCCTTTCCAAACAGCTCTAAACAGATCCAAACCAAAACTAGACCAATCTGGCTGGGCATGCTGGTTATGTACGGCTGGAATGTTTCTGTAACATCTGTTAAGCCATATGCACTGCTGTTGCTGGGCACCGTATATCCGACAGAAAGGAGCAGGCGTGTTTGTCAGCTATACTTCATGCAGCACTTAATAGCAGAGCGAGTGTCTTGAGGTTGCCTGTTGTTCCCAGTTCAGACTCTTTTAAAACAGTTAAAGGGCAAAAAATTAATATCATCTTGCTTGGTTGAAACGCAGTCCTAAACGGCTCTTGTGCCCTTTTCACCTTGGGTGGTGTGGCCTTAGAAGGAAGCCAAGAGGAAAACTTATGTTTCTCGTGTCACTATGAAGACAATGCAGTGCCGGGTTTATGAGGTCTTCAGCATAAAATGACTGCTTAAAACCCTCCTGCTTTTTCTCGGCTAACCAGGATTAATTCTGAATGGTTGAGCAGCGCAACAGGCAGATGCTGGTCTGGAGGACCTCGTCTCCAGAGCTCCCTGCCCCCAGAGGAATTGGATTTCTACTTGGGGAAGTAGGAACAGTGGAGACCTGAGAGGGAATGAAGCAGGGTATTTTGTAAGATTATTAGCTAACATAGAGAAATTATAAAATAGACTAACAGAGGAAGACTCGTGTTACTTAAAGTATTTCAGGTATTGTTTGGTGTCTTTATTTTTTGTGATTATAATGAGGTTTTTGCCTTTTCTGGCTGTCTGGTGCTGGTAGCCTGCCATCTGGCCGTTCCCAGCCACAGGCAGGCCCTGTGGGCAGGAGGCACATCACCTTCTCTTCTTATTTTGGTGTCCTGGGTTTAGCAGTAGCAGTCACTTTTCTCCTTCTTGGTAGCTGGTGCAGTGCTGTGTTTTGACTTTTGGCCTGGGAACAGAGCTGATAACACTGACGTTTTGGTCTGGCCAAGGACTTTGTGAGCCTCGTGCTCTGCCAGGGTGGAGGGGAAGCCGGGAGGAAGCAGAGACAGGGCACCTGACCCAAACTGACCAAAGAGGTATTCCATACTACAGCACGTCATGGCCAGGATGTAACTGGGAGTTACCCGGAAGGTGCAGAGTTGGAGGAGGTACTGGTCAGTGCTTGGTTGGGGGGCGAGTTATCAGTCAGCTGGTGGTGAGGTGTTGTATTCTCTTCCCTTGTTATTTCCTTTATCATTATTATTATTGGTGGTAGCAGCAGTGATTTGTGTTATACCTTAGTTACTAAACTGTTCTTATCTCAAGCCATGGGAGTTGCATTCTTTTTGATTCTCCTCTCTGTCCCTCTGGGAGTAGGGGGAGGACAAGAAGGGGGGGAGTGAGTGAACAAGCTGTCTGGCTGAGTTTAAACCATGACATTTGGATTCACACTTCCCAAACTATTGCTACATCCACTTCAGTCACAATGGAACCATTTTCTTCCAGCATATCTGTTTAATTTTTGTTATTGGGTTGGGGTTTTTTTCTCTCGGACTTTCCCATATTTTGCTGCTACACCACAGTTGCAAGGTATTGTACATTGTGCATGTCAACTTATGCAGCCTTTTTAGTAGTACTCTGAAAATATGTTCCAATCGTAGGACTGTTTATGTTGGTTGGGACCTTGGGAGGTCTCTTGCAGCTGGACCTCCAGCATTTCTAGGGGCCAGTCAGATCTTTGCAAACCTCCAAGAACAGAGGTGGCACAACCCCTCTGGGTCCCTGCTCCACTGCAGGGACCACTCACAGAGACACATTCTTTTCCTTATATCCTGGCTGATTCTTGCCTGTTTTTTCTTGTTCTCCTGCCAGGCACCACTGTCACAAGCCTGGCTTCTATCTTTTTGCTGTCCTGGTAGGAACAGTAGTGACAACCAGGTTTCCTGCAGTCTTTCTTCTTCTCCAGCCTGAAGAAGTCCCAGGCCCTCAGCCTCTTCTCACAGGCAGAGAGAAGAATGAGATACAGACTAGGTGAAACAATGATTAGTGCATGTTGTTAGTGACAGCCAGCATTTGTTCTGTTTGTGAATTAACCACATGTATTGTGGAGTTTCTCTTTCAAGCTGTGGCACTCCAGTGCCTTTCCTTACTTGAGTGAGTGATGTTACTGTAACATAAGCCTGGAGAGCGCAAAGGAAAGACCAGCTCATGTTCTTAATTCATCTCACTAAAGAGAAAGAGGGAAAGGAAGGCTGAGACAATCTTGGGAAGAAGCTGTTCCTACTGGCATTAAAAATGCTGTTGTACAGAAGAGAATGTGGGCGTCAGTGGATTGTAAGGGGAAATCAGAGTGATGAAATCTGTCTCGTTGGGCCAGTAGTGACTTTGGAGGAGGACACAAAAATATCCGTTGAGTATTGGCAAGAGGAGGAGGAATTCCCGAGGGTGGTCTGAAAGAACAAAAGCTATACTTGTAGTTTAAAATTTAGAAAGGACACATGCAGTATGAAGAGATTTTTCCTGATAGTGAACTCCAACAGATACTAAAGCTGCCTCTGAAAGGAAGTTTTAACAAGATCATTACTGGACTGAATATAAATGGGAAGTAAGATGGGGCAAACTGAGAAACAGACTTAAACTATAAACAGAGTTGTTGTCCTGCCCTTTATTTTGTGATAGTCTGGTAGCTACAAAGGGCACTTCTATTTCCACCCTGCTGGGAAGCAAGTGCTACAAGACCAAAGGAGTATACGTATCCTTGGAGTGCTTGTCCCTGAGCTGCTAGAACTAGGGTATACACATTAAAGAATCTTTATTTCAGCCCAAACAGATGTCTCGTATAATACTTCTTTGTACATCCCGGTGTTTAAATATTTGTGTTTCCTCTGCAGCTTGGGAAGGAAAGCAGTCAGATGGACAGTCGAGCAGCCCTCAGAACTCCACCTCTAGTTCTTCTCCCTCTGTTAAGCTTGATAACTCCTTGCCAGGGTTGGGGAAGAAACCATTCCAGAGATCTGACAGGCTTCACGCAAGTAAGATCCTTACTTTTTTTGATTAAGGAGATTTGGTTGCTCTGATGACAGAGCAAAAGCTAAATAACAAAACTGAGTAAAATGTGTAATTAATTGCATTGCTAAAGTGACTTCTGTACAGTTCTGGATGGTACTGCTAGTATGCTGTGTGAACTGGGATAAATAATTCAAACTGTATATATGCAAATAAGCCTTTTCTCATTTCTTACCATCAGGGTTTTCTACCTGTGAATTTCCAGCTTGCTGTTTGAGAAGCAAAAAAGGACTTGCATTATTTAGCAGGCTTGTTAATGCACTGAAGAGACTTTGATAACATTAAAAAGAAAAAAGAAATTCCTTCCTAGATCTTTATAGTTCAGTCTCCCCTGTTATTTGACTTCCTTCCCATTCACTGAAGTTAGGTCCTTCTCAGGCCTCCAGACCTTTTGTGGTTTCTTTTACATACACCAGTGGTGGACTCAACCTTGGTGAAACTAAGGATATTCTGAGGTCTCTCTCTATGCTCCTCGTCCTACATTGTCATTGGTGAAACAAACACTTTTCAAAGCATGTTTTGTTTGTCCTGTGTGATTAGGAAATTCAGCAACTTAAATAGATTATAAACCCGAAGAGCTGTTTCCTGAATGACTTCTGATGGAAAACACTTTCCCTACAGAAACAAGCCTCCATGGCACTTATTTTGTTAGGTTTTCTTAACTTAAAAGTAATTGCTGTCATCCCTGATGTCAGGGGAGCAGGGTAGTACTACCCATTGTGCTAATAATGTGCTTTAATCTAAGCTTCATAATATGTGGTATTTTGCCAGTTACAGACAGCGGATGCATCTGAAGGAAACAGAGCACACAGTGCAAACACTGCCTTTCACAGCACATGTATGATGCTGGGTATGGCGTAAGGGTTAATGCTTGACTTGCTGGCTTTCAAACACAGAATGAGACTGGTTACTCATTGTTACTGCTTTGTCTTCCCACCCAAGTGCAATGAGCTGACGAATCTTTCTGAAATGCTTTTGCTAAGAACAAAGTAGGAAAATCCAGGAAGAACTCCCAAGGAAGGAACAAACTGACCTTAGTGAGAGGCTTAAAATAGAAATCAATGTGGCTAAAAGCAATTCTAGAAACCCTTCTGAAAAAGACTCCTTGCTGTTCCCCAGATAGCAGGATTCTGCGGGAGTTAGGTCAGCTGACACAGGCTACAGTGATATGGAAATTGTGCTGGAAAGAACCTCCTGTTTTGTTTTGAACTGTATGTGCAAAGGTAAAATGTGGTTTTAAAGTCAGGGTGTGAAACAGATCACAGAGGTGGCATTCTGAAAATCTTGGGGGCAGTAAACTCCAAAAGGAGCCTGGAATCCTCTCTCAGGAACAGTGTTACTCACATCTTGCTGGTTTGTTGCAGGGCAGCTGAAGAGAACAAAGTGTGCTGAAATTGATGTGGAAACTCCTGACTCCATCCTCGTGAACACCAACCTGCGGGCACTGATCAACAAGCACACGTTCTCCGTCCTGCCTACAGAATGCCAGCAGCGCCTGCTGCTGCTGCTGCCCGAGGTGGACAGGCAGGTAGGTCTTCTGTGTGCTGTTTCTTCTAGGTTCTGCTGTGGAGGGAAGTGGCTATTTGATGTCAGCAAGGAGCATCTGCAGAGGAAATTCAAACTAGACACCCAAACACTGTGCTTATAGCTAATGAGGTAGGGTGCTGCTTCTGTGCAGTGTGGAAAAAAATTGGAAAATTCATCTAATTTTGGTGTTTGGGTGCTTGTTGCTACCAGAAAAAGATCTAAAGCCATCTAAAGATGGCTAAATCAGTCCATGATCCCAGCTACAGCAAGAACAATGTTTCTGTTACACTGGACTTGCAGAGGACCAGGAGTGATGGGCATGCAGCAGTTTCCATGTCCTCCTGTCTCCTGTCCTCACGCGGATTCTTCAGTACAGTATTGACCCTGCAGCTTCTTAGGCTGGTGCCTTCCCACAGAACACCAATACAGATGCTGCCATCTAGTTCCAGCCTTTTCTGCTTTTCTGGCATCACTGCTGTCAAATTCTGAATTTGGTGAAGTGAAAACTGAACAAGTTTTCTATGGCACATTCACACTGTCCAGACTGCAAAGCAGGCCTGACCCAAAACACACAGTTAAAGGAACCAAGCACACAGTGTGTGGCAGCTGTGGAGGCAGCTTATGTCTGTGGATTGTCTAAGATCTCTTTGCAAGTGAAGAGAGGAATTTGGAAAGGCAGAGGAGTATTTAGTGGGGAGAAGTAGGCTCCTTTGCTCTGGGAGTGCACAGAAGAAATGGTGAGGTTTTTCATTGAGCTCTTCACTAAACAGTCGGTGATAATAGGAATATGAGTTACAAGGGGGTAAGAACTTAGCCTTCAGGACTGAAAGAATACCTAAGAGAATCTTTTGGTAGGACAGTTATTTCAACTCAGCTGGACCTGATGAATTTCCTCTGATGCATGAAGCAATCTCAACCTTGCAGGAGCTTTTTTAATCAGCTTGGAGAAGGCAGGGATGATACTGAGAAATTAGAAAAGATTAAACATTGCACTTGCATGTAAAAAGAGAAATATGCAGTTGGGGAAGTGAAGTTCAATCTGTTTATGCTCAATACTAGAAAAGTTGCAGCTAGAATAAGGATGCTTCCTTCCTTTTACCTTACTTGTATTATATTAGTCTTCAGTATTCCTACCCCAGCTGGCTGGGAGCTTCTGAGCAAAGCAGGAATCTGTGCTATGCTACTCGGTTGTAGGAGTGTCCGTTCAGATGCCTTAACATATGTGCCTAGAGCCATTTTAAATGTTCTTTAGATAGCAAAGCTGGCTTCAAGATTCCACTCCAGATGGGAGTCTTCCATATGTCCTGTCTCAGGTCTGCAAGTCCCTTTAAGATACTTTCCTGTGTGATGTTCAGATCAGTACTAGATGCCTGCATTTACGCACTTCAGTCACTTCCTTGGAGTCTGTCTCAGCTGCTTACTCAGGGCTTCTCTTATAGAAAGTGGAACTCCAGTTGGTACACTCAAGAGCCTTTTGAGCACATGCAGGTGTCTGCCTCAGCCTGAGCTGAACCAAGTCCCTACCTCCGCACACCCAGGTGACTTGACCACTATAGACTGTGAAGGGACACCAGCCTAGATGGAGATGCTAGATGGAGCCGAGACATCCATGTGCAGTAAAGTGTTACCCATCTCTGTGGCCATGCTGCTCTCCTGGCTCTCACACAGTGTTAATAATGTCTGCGGTCTGGCAGCTGCACTGTGGTCTGCTTTAGAAGGACACTGCCCTGAGCAGACAGTGTTCCTTTGGAGCTAGGAGGAGTTCTAACTTTTTACATTGTCTCATAAATTCTGATCTTCAGTCAGCATTCACTGGGGACTTGTTAGTCCAAGGCTGATCCAGTAAATACTTGAAGCAATTGTTTTTTAAGTCCTGTGGCCTTTGTAATAATTAGGTATGTGTCAGAATATGATGTGATGGAGTTTGCAGCTGGAGTTTACTGGCAAGAACCTCACAGCAGATGGTAGGACATTTCTGCCCTGGCTTTTAAGTTTAATTGTCCTTAAATTGAATGAGAATTTCACCAAGAACAAATTTTGACTAGCCCTATAACATTGCTTGGCTCCTGAAAGACCAGATCTTACATTTTGCTGTAGTAAATCTCCTAGAGCAGCCCACCACATCAAGTGGTGCTGCATGCTTTATTGCACATCAGTCTTCACTGTAGTAAACAGGAGAAGAGGCGAAGGCGTTGGACATACCAGTTGTGAAAGGTTGCCTGTCTGCTTGTGTTGCTTGTCAGGGACTCAGTCTGAGCTGCTTCAGCTGGTGTTTCTGCAGAGGAGAAAGCAGGTACTGAGGCCTGACCCTCCCAGCCCTGTGGTAGTTGACTGCCCTCCAGCACAAGGAACGGGCAACCCCATATACACAGCACAGGATAGTCATGACAATTCTGCTCCCTCTAGTCAATCAATAGGGTTTGGGACTAGAAAATAAATCTCTGCTTTTGTAATCCCTACAATGGCAGCTTCTAATTTAAAAATCTACCAATTATATCTTACCTATAAAACCTTCTATTAGGTCAATTCCATTATTGTTGTTACCTGCACCACAAACACTGGCTCAGGGAGAGCACAGATTCTGTCAGTCCTGCTGGTGAAGGTTTCCTGCACAGTCTCCCAGTGTAATTGAGAGTAGCTTGCACTGGGACAGCTGGATTTTGCTTGTTCATTCTGATTTATTAGGCAATAAATGGAAGCACATCAGTTTTGCCCATGGCAAGTTTTTGCCACTAACTGATCCGTACATGTATTTTTTTTCTGGTGGAGAAATTCCACATTTACTTCTGTGGAATAAAGAGCAACAGCAAATTTCATGTGTGTTTTACTACCCTGGTTATCATTTCCCACTGCAATTGTTCCAGTCTTGGCCTCACGCTTTCTCATTTATGTCCTACTCCATAGCATGACTGCCCTATTTGATTAACCATATTTCAAAGACAGAATGGGTTTTGAGCCTTATTTGTCCATTTCCTGAAGCATCTGTGGTTATGATTACATACAGTTCAGGTGTCATGTAAAAGTTACTTGTATACAATACCTCTTATGTCCTTGCTTTTCCCTCACACACTTCATGTTCATGAGAAGGCAGCAGAGCTGGTGCTTTGGGTGGTAAGCAGCTCATTCATTCTACAGGGGAAAGGGCAGCTGAATTAGCTTCTCAGAGGCTGTGCTGTTCTGTTTCCATGTGCTTCTCCTTGCCACCTGTACCATCCGCTGCTCATGTGTGTTTGTGCGGCTATAGAGGATGGGCTGAGGCAAGGATGAGGAAAATCTCCCACAGCCTCCTGGATCCCAGCCTTGACTAAGGCTGCAGGTTTTCTCCTGCAGCAAAGGCAGTTTCCAGAGAGAGATCTTTGGCAATGTTGGGGCTCTTGCTCTGTTTTCAGATCACACATGATGAAATGTGACATTTGCCTTTTCAGCTAGTTAATACTCTTTGCCTTGTCATGTGTTCCAGGTTGGGGCAGACGGTTTGATGAAGCTCAGTGGCTCTGCACTCAACAATGAGTTCTTCACTTCAGCTGCCCAAGGCTGGAAGGAGAGGTTGTCAGAAGGTAAAACTTCCCCAGACAATGATGCAGAGCTCTTAGAAGGCTTTCACCTAATGAATGTTTTGGGGGATGTGTGAAAAAGATTTCATGGAGAGGTTGAAGCACTGGAAGGGGTTCCCAGGTAAAGACAGCTGTAGTCAACACAGGCTGAGAGCACATGCAAGCTCAAAACTATGTCATCTCGAGGTCATAGAGGGGCTGCAGTAAGGAGTTCAGTTTTGAACTTAGCAGGTACAAAAATCATAGAATCATAGAATGGTTTGCATTAGAGGGAACCTTAAAGCTCATCCAGTTCCAACCCCACTGCCACAGGAAGGGACACTTTCCACTAGACCAGGTTGCTCAAAGCTCCATCCAGCCTGGCCTTGAAAAATGAGCAAGTCTCTGAAAGAGATGAGACAAGAGGGAAAAATAGTACTGAGATGACTGTATAGCTATGTTATTCTGAAGTGGTGGTAGCTAAGTATAGCCCACTGCTGAGCTCAGTGGAGAAGGTAAATCATATTCCCCAAGTAATGCACTTGATCATTAGCAAAGCTGTTTGGACACAGCTGGTGTGGTCAAGTCCTTTGAGCCAGTATTTCTTATATAACATAACATCAGATATTTACTATTCGATAAGATTCCTGCACCTTCAATGGCAGTTTGCATCTTGAACTTAGAGGGGCTTAATTCCATCGTTTGATCAAATCACATCACCAGAAGGGCAGTCATGCACTGTGGCCAGGGACCGTCTCCACAGCACTTTGTGCTTAGGGCACACCTGAGCTTATGACAGTGTGTGCTTTCAGCTGAAATGTCCCAACTGGGAAATAAAAGAACACCACATCACTGGAAATCCAGGAATTCACTGCTGCGACAGAGACTGTTTCAAAGGGCTGAATTTTGAACCCTGTTGCTATATTACTCTTAAGTCTTTTAAGCATGTGTTCTGCTGATTTTGATGCAACAAATTTTCTGTAGTTATTTACCTGACCAAATTTATATAAAAATATGAAAGGAAGTTGATGTATCAGAGATTCTGTTTGGGCCCTCTGTTCTTCTGCAGTGAAAAGGTGAGTTTATATTAATTTTTGATTATGATTTAATACTGCCAGGTACCAGTGTGCTGAAAAGGGAGCCAAAAATTGTTGAGAAATAAACTGTGCAATGATAGAAGTATCTGATTTCTGTTGATCCTCTAAGTAATCCCCTCACTGGAGTAATTTTGGCAGGATGCTTAAAAGAAAAAGACATAAGAAGTAAAATAGAAAAGTCTGGACACACATTGTATGTATTTGTCTTGGGCTTTTTTTCACTTCTGGATGCCCTTGTTTTTCTCTGATTCCTCTGCATTACTGCCATTGAGGTGGGAATGCTGGGGGTGTCTGCAGAGGAGGAATATGGATGGAATGGAGGAATGTTTGATAGAAATAACATCAAGATGAGGTTTAACTCATTTTAAAATATTCAGAACATGAGAATCTGGGTTTTATGAGCACACTTAGATTACCAATGGAATTAACTAAGAGTTGCCCTGAAAAAGATGATGTCCTCATCGTCATAGTCAACCTTCTATGATTCTGTTGGCTACCAGAGTGGACAGTCGCAGGGATGGGAGTTACAGCTGTCGGGCATAAAGCTGTTGCCTGGAGCAACAGACAGCAGAGGAGCACTTTGCAGCTGAGGAGAGGAGCCCGAAGTACTGCAGGCAGGGCTGCAGTGTCACATGCTGTGAAGGGTTGTCTGAGACAGTGTAAGTGGGAAGGCTCCTGTGGTTACATGGCTACATTTCATCTATACCCTTTTTTGAAGATACCCTTTACTGCTTTTTGCAGGTGAGTTTACACCGGAAATGCAACTAAGAATACGACAAGAAATAGAAAAGGAAAAGAAGGTTGAACTGTGGAAGGAACATTTTTTTGAGAGCTACTATGGCCAGAGGTAAGACCCTCAACTGTCTTTTTTACCCTTTCATTGCCTGTCCAGGTGTACCTCTTGCTCCATTTGTAGCATGCCCACAAATAAACACAATTTTTCATGAGTCCTGAAAGCTGACAAAGGCCTCCAGCTTCATCCAGCTCTGACCCGAGGGAACTAGGTCAGAAGTGATGGGTTTGCTGTTGGGATTTCTAATGCTTTAATAACCAGCATAGAACTGGTTTCCTCTGGCAAGGATGTCCTTTACATTTTACATCTTAACTTTTCCCACTCCTTACTACAGTACTTTGGGGCACTCCTTGTAGGGTTCTTCTAGTATCAGGATCCCCAGGTATGGTGGTGGTGCATACTCTACCCTGCAGCAAATCATTTGCTACACAACATCTTGTGTTTCTTCACATCCAGTCAGATATGTATTTGGTTAAATTAACACACATTCCTCTAGAGAATGATTTTCAGTGTTCCTTTCTGCAAATATCACTGTATGAGCTGGAGTCAGATGGAAGCTGCATGGGGTTGTTCAAGTGCTGTAGCGATGTGCCTGTGGTGGCTAATAATGGGAGCCTTTCTTGTTGGCCAGATGTCATGGTTTAAGCCCAGCTGCCACACAGCCCACTCTCTCACTCCCCCCCTGCTCCCAGAGGGATGGGAAGGAGAATCGAAAGAATGTAACAGCCCAGTAACTAAGGTATAACACAAACCACTGCTGCTACCACCAATAATAATAATAATGATAAGGGAAATAACAAGAGAAGGTAATACAACCGCTCACCACCCGCTAACCGATACCCAGTCCCAACTGAGTAGTGATCTAGCCCTTCCAGGTAACTGCCCCCAGTTCTACATCCTGGGCATGGTGTGCTGTGGTATGGAATACCTCTTTGGTCAGTTTGGGTCAGGTGTCCTGTCTCTGCTTCCTCCCGGCTTCCCCTCCTCCCTGGCAGAGCATGAGACTCACAAAGTCCTTGGTCAGAGTAAACATTCTGAACAGCAACTAGAAACATCAGTGTTATCAGCGCTGTTCCCAGGCTGAAAGTCACAAACACAGCACTGCACCAGCTACTAAGAAGGAGAAAAATGACTGCTACTGCTGAATCCAGGACAGTATCCACCCCTTATTCCATACCATTTGCGTCATGCTCAGATCCCACATTTTCAATATACTATCACTCTTATCTCATATATATATATACATATATATATATATACACATCCACAGAGAATGAGAGAGAGAGAGAGAGATCATTCTTTAGTGCATGGACCAATCCCTATAAAGCTGCTGAGTCCATCCAGTCCATATCAGGCTCCATCTCTTGTAACAGTCTTTCAGAGCAGGAGAGAGAGTGTGATGTAGTTGATCTGCCAGGCCTCCCCATATTTGTACTTCAGCTGTCATCCTCCATACCAGAGAGGCTTTAACACTTGGCTTGCTTAACTGCAGCACGTTTCACACTCGTGAATAACTGGGGCAGTGGTGTCCATTGCTAAGTCCACCCCTTGATCATGAGTCCATCTGTATGTTCCGTCTCTGCCCTGAAGGTCTGAAGTGTCATAGGCCCACCAGGCTCAAAATAATTCACCCTCCCCTTCAGCAGTTCCTGCAGCTTGTCATCAGGGACTCCATACAGCTGCCTTCCATCTCCAACGCTTCCAAAGCACTGGAGGGGCCCAGTGGACTAGATACTCACCCATACTGTCACACACATCCTGCTATTCATGACTGTCCAGCCTCCGGGAAAATCTCTTGGTCCTCCTATATTGTTGTCTAATCCTAGACAAGGCCCAAACACGACTCCGCTTAACTTTCGAGATCAGACAAACTGCTCATGGATAAAACACACTCTGTATGTGTGCCAACATGCTGATCCCCATCACAATCAGCAGGCAGGTCTCAAGGGTACCCAAAGGCCATTCAAAACCTTCAGAACTCTCAAACGATGCTGCTGTACTTGTCGCTTGGGGCTGATGTAGCTGCTGTGCTTGGAGCTGGAGTAGCTGCGCTGTCTGCTGTGGTTGGAGTTTGAGTAGCTGCTGTGCTTGTTGCAGGGGTGTGTGGGAATGTCTCCCTCATAGGCTGACCACCCAAGGAGGGGAAAAAACATGTGTAATTGCTATACACTTCTGTTATATGCCTCCCAAAATATAGAGATGGTGACCACATTGGGAACACAAGCCAGATGAGTTTCAGGATCAATGAGTCTATTGTGTTACAAGTCATTACCATAAAGTACAATGAAACAAGAACCTTAGCCCAAGGCCCCCAGCCGATAAACATTAACACAGCAAATACCAGCTGTAAGTAAGGTGTGACATGCTGAAACCGTGAGATCAAGAGAACAACTTTGAGAGCCAATAAATCAGCACTGTGACAAGTGACTATGAATGCTTATCACAAACACTATTAGACACACTCCGGTCAGATCTGTCATTATCTCACCCCTTCGTGCCCCATGTTGGGCGCCAAAAAGAACTGTTGTGGTTTAAGCCCAGCTGCCATGCAGCCCGCTCACTCACTCACTCACTCACCCCCTTTCTCTCCTCCTGCTCCCAGAGGGATGGGGAGAAGAACTGAAAGAATGTAACTCCCACGGGTTGAGATAAGAGCAATCCAATAACTAAGGTATGACACAAACCACTGCTGCTGCCACCAATAATAATGATAAGGGAAATAACAAGGGAAGAGAATACAACTGCTCACCACCCACCGACCGATACCCAGCCCAACCGAGCAGTGATCTAGCCCTTCCAGGTAACTGCCCCCAGTTTATATAGTGGGCATGGCATGCTGTGGCATGGAATACCTCTTTGGTCAGTTTGGGTCAGGTGTCCTGTTTCTGCTTCCTCCTGGCAGAGCATGAGGCTCAGAAAGTCCTTGGTCAGAGTAAACACTACTGAGCAGCAACTAAAAACATCGGTGTTATCATTACTGTTCCCAGGCTGAAAATCAAAACCACAGCACTGCACCAGCTACTAAGAAGGAGAAAAATGACTGCTACTGCTGAACTCAGGACACCAGATTAATTTGATTTGCAGCCTGGAAAATTGGTATCAGGATAGAGGACTAGATCTAACCTGTATTCCAAGTATTTATCTTAGTTGGGTTTAAACTTTGCTGTTTAGTTCTGTTTCATGTGGAAGAACCAACAGTACAGAAAGCTTTCAAGGATCCTGGCACAGAATTAGATGTGTGAGACTCAGTGATTTAGGGTGTTGTATGTAGAAAATCCTCACAGTTTTTGTGAGCAGAATATGCTTTTTTGCAAGAATGTTTCACAAAATTAAAGATCTGTTTTTCTTGATAGTTCTGGGCTAAGTCCTGAAGAGTCCAAGAGACTGATAGCAAACACCAGCCCTGCTGAGACAGAGACTGAAAATCTAGCAGCTGAGCCACCAAAATGCCCGCCAGCCTCTCTCATCCCACTTAAAGAGGAGATGACCTCTCCATTAGAGTCTAAAGCACAAGCAGTCTGGGAAGCACCAGTGGTGAAAAAAGGAGGGGAGGAAAGAAGGGAGGACGTGCAGGCAAAACCAGCCAAACCTGCAGAGGCTTCAGTCTCCCCTGGTGGGTGTGCAGTGAAACCCAGTGACCATTCCCTCCCTTTAAAAGAGAGCGTTCAAGGAGAGTCCATTCAAGAGAAACCACAAATTGCCAGCAGTCAAAAGGCAGACGAACAGAGAAAGCACCCTGCCTCAAAGGAAGTGCTGGGCAAAGAGACTGTCAGTGCCTCAGGTGTGGCCCCGAGTAAACCAAAGAGCCCCGAAGCAGGTGAAGTAGTAGTAAACATGAAAAGCCCTGTGATGACTCCAGGAACACCAGAAAAGAAGCCCCCAGTAAATGAAGACATGGAAGTGAGTGTGGAAGCCCCTAAGAGGAAGACAGAGAGTAGGGAAGAAGCTCCAACCACTCCTGAGAAAAAGCCCCGGATCATGGAGACCTGTCAGCACCACCAGGCATTTCGGAGCCAGGCACAGCCCTTTCCTGCTGCGGGGACCCCGGTGCCACGTGTGCCCCCACTCAAGGTAAAGCGAAACAAAGGCAGCTCCACAGAGCAGGTCATGTGGGTCAGCGCAGCTCAGCTGGTGGCTTTGTCAGTTCAGTTCCAGTTATGTGTGTAGATTGTGTTACCCGCTTACAGGGATGGAAATATTTGATCCAAAATCATGTCAGTGGTTTGCTAAAGGGGATCTGCTGGCTGGGTAACCAGCATGACTTAGGTATCTCTTGTACACGTGCCTCTGTTGAAAGATCTCTTGGGCCAGAAGCTCAGAGAGTAGTGCAAAAGCCCAGGGCAAAGCATAACAGAGTACTGCAGTTCCCAATGGAAACTGGGGAGGAACTGCAAGGCCACAAGAATGAAGCAGTTTGTAACCCAGAGGTGCACAAAACTTGGCAGGTGTGTGAGCATCCCCAGTATGGTCCACAAAGACTGTTAACTGTCAGCAGCTTCCTCTGATCTGTCAAACCCAGTAGCTAAATTATTTACCCATGTTTAAAGAAAGACCACCTAGAAGTAGCACAGTTATCATTTATACCAGCTGGATATAGCATAGCACCAGACTAGGTTGCAGGAAAAGACCATTTCAGGGAACGCCTCCATTCCAAAAGTCCTTTGGCTGCTGAGTCTTAATGAGAACCTCCATGGGAGAGGAATCAGGCAGTTGTTCACCATGGGGATAGGGCAGGAGGAAGGAAGCATGAAAGAACCACTCCAGCCTATGGCCTGCACAATACACTCCTATGGCATCGAGACCCAGGTGGTGGGAGCACACACCTGCAGCTGCGCTGCCAGGAGGTGTCCTGCTGGTGAGTACCTCATCCACTCAATCCAGGTGTTCCATCCTCTTCCAGATAATGATCACAAGATTGCACAGCACGGATAATCCTGATTGTTCCTTCAGCGGTGTTATTTTATACTCAACAGTGCATGGTAAATGGATGAACCAACACAGAAAAAGTTTTGCAGTCATGTGTGACTGTGGCAGGAGAAGTTTGGTTTCTGCAGGATAGAGCCTCTGCTTTTTCTACCAGAATGTGCTCTGGTAAAGATTCATCTCCCTCATCTGGGGCCTTAGGCAGAAGTTGTAAATGGAGAACTGCTTAGTTAGTGTATTTCTTGATGTCCTAAGAATTCTACTCTCCTAGTAAGAGTCGTTTATACTGGGAAGCACACAAACACATTTTACAAATGGTTTGTAATTCTCACCATGCTAACAAGTATAGCACAGGGCAGGAAAGCATTAACAGAACTTGTTAGTGAAACCAAAACTGGGAGGAAACTGTCAATAAAAGATATTTGGAATGTTTTACAGGAAGAACAGTTGATCTGCCAGTGTAATAAAAATGGGATTTAATTTAACAATGGAATGAATTGAAGGATGATTGCAAATAGTTCCCCTGTGAGGTAGAAAAGACAGATGTGGTGAGTGGTTACTCAGAGGAGGGAAGTCAGCAGATACATGGGAACAACTGTAACAATAAGATGTACTGAGGAAACAAGTACAGATCTGCAGGGGTGGAAGAGACGTGCAGAATCCAGCAAAAAGTTGACACAAACCTTTAAAAGAATATAAATTACATATGAATAAAGTATTAAATACAGAATAAAGGACAATAGGTGTTGAGTTTGGGAACACCCATACGGGTTTTTCTCTTTTGGAGTAAGGTTGTGTGATGTAGTAGCTCACAATGGCAAGGGCTGAGCTTCCAGTCTGAGTTATCAAGATTGTAAGGACTTAAAACAGGGGTGCCAGGCATCTCTTACTGTTTATCTCAAGTGAGGGAGCAAAGGGACTTCTCCAAAGGGATTCCTCCAAAACTACAACTGTTTCTCTTAAGACCAAACTATAAACACTTCTTAAACACAGGTTAAATGGTCCCCATGTCTCAGCTGTGTTTTTCTCTTCCTCTGTTTCAGATTCCCGTTTCCAGAATCTCCCCAATGCCATTTCCTGCGGGCCAGGTCTCTCCCAGGGCACGTTTCCCAATCTCACTTACCAGTCCAGGAAGAAGGGGAGCCAGAACTTTGGCAGACATCAAGGCAAAAGCCCAGCAAGCCAAGGCTCAGAGGGCAGCAGCCGCTGCCGCTGCCGCCACCGCTGCTGCTGCTGCTGCCGCCTCGACAGGGGGGGCTGTCCCAGGGCCTGGACCAGGCGGTGGTGGGGACCCACCGGGTGGTGGAGGAGAGAAGAGTAACACAGCAGCAAGTGGAGCCACCCAAACTGGAACTCGAGGAAATGCACTGGAACTGGCAGGAACTGGAAGCGGGGGAAGTTCGAGAAGGTTTCTTACCCACTGCCCAGGGAGCTGTCCCCACAGGGAGACCCAGGCCCCAGACCAGGCACCCCCTCACCATCCTTCTAGAGCACAACTACAGCAAACTCCCGCCCTGCAGTCCAGAGCTCCATCCAGCAATACAGGCACTGGCTCCTCTTCACCAGCAGCAGCGGCCCTAGAGAATATCAACAGAACAAAACCATGCACCCCCAGTGCGACCATAAATCAGGTGTCAGGCTCCCTGTGTGCGGGCAGCAGGGAAAAGCGGGAGAATGCACCTCCTGCTCCAGCAGGCCCAAGCCAGGGCTGTGGGACAGCAGCGGTCCGGGATGGAGCAGCCTGCGTCACTATGGCCGCAGCAGATGCCAACACAAGTGTAACGAAGGTAGCACCTACGGCCTTAGGAGGGACCAGCTTAGATGTTTGTAAAAGCAAATCTCCTTGCCCTCTGGTGTCTTCGCTGACATCCATGAGCTCAGAAGCGCAGGCTGGAGGTGTGGTCACATCCACAACATCCGTCCCACCCTCTAATGCATCATCAGTGGCACCTAGCCTTAAAACCCATCCAAGTTCAGGCTCAAGTGGGGCCCTCCCAAAGCCAAGTTCCAGTATTCCTGCTAACAACCCTTTAGTCACCCAGCTTCTTCAAGGCAAGAACGTCCCTCTGGAGCAAATCCTGCCGAAGGCTCTCACCAAAGTAGAAAACAAAACTGTCCTGTTAGCTTCCCATGAAGAAAAAGGGGCAGCTAGTAGTACAGGTGTAGCTGGGAGCAGCGCTGGAGCCGAGGGTGGTGAAAGGCAATCAAGTTTACCCACACAACAGCTTGGGAAGGTCTTCTGCCAGAACAGGCCTCTGCCTCACATTCCAAGGACTTTTCCACTCCCCTCGGGAAAGGACCCCAATGTTGACCAGCACCAGGGCCATGAGGCACTCAGCAAAACCACGCAAGAGCAGATCCTCCAGACCCTGATCAAGAGGGTCCAGAGGCAGAATTCGTTGCCAGTCCTCCAACCCTCACAACTGAACCTCGCTCCCTCAGGTTTCCAGTTAGAAAACAGCTCTGCCAGCCAGAGGTTTATGTTAGGCTTCATGGGCAGGAGGACATCCAGGCCTGCCATGTCTGGTCATTATCTGCTCAACATTTCCACCTATGGTCGCGGCTCAGAGAGTTTGAGGAGAAGCTTCTTCTTGAACCCTGAAAACCGGTTCTGTCTAAACAGTCCTGCTGATGCTCCAAAACCAGAATTCGGGGAATGTGAGGAGGCTGGCCATGGCAGCAGCAGTGATGAAGGAGATGCAGATGATGAGAGTACCGGTGATGAACATGAACAGACCAGTGTGAAAGAGGAGCCCCAGGCCTCACAGGTGTCTGGCCAGTGTGAAAAAGAGCAGGTCTCACATGGCATAAATTCTTCGGATTACAGCACCCTTGCTAAAAAGGGTGTAAAGGCAGAAGCAGCCACGTCCCAACAGGCAGCAGGCAACAAGGAGAACATTCAGGCGTTTGATGGAACTATACTAGCACGAGACTTCATTCAGGCCGCTCAAGAGCAAGTGGCACATGCGATGAGGGGGAAGATGCACAGCAACCCGGAGCTGTTCAGTACTTCTGTGCCGTCCTCGGACTCTGCGCCGCAGCAGCCTCCGCTGCTTTCCCCGCCGCACCCTCCAAAGCTCTCCACGAGTGCTGCAGCACAGCTCATTGGGCCCAGTTACAGTGGCACAATAAACGTCTCCACCTCCCCAGACGTGAACCAGGGGTCCCTCATGACCGGGCTGTCTGACTGCAACCAGTTGTCCAGTAGCATGGGGAACGTCATGTCCTTCTCAGTGACTGTAACCACCATCCCCACCAGCCAAGCTGTGAACTCTGGCAACCACAGTCAGACCATCCCTGTTCAAGCCTTTGCTGAAGACAGCAGCATGGAGGATTCCCCTTCCAAATGTTACTGCAGGTTGAAAGCCATGATCATGTGCAAGGGCTGTGGGGCCTTCTGCCATGATGACTGCATCGGCCCCTCTAAGCTCTGTGTCTCCTGCCTTGTCGTGCGGTAACTGGGACGGGAAGCGGGGAGGAGGAGAATGGCTTGATTTTGGTTTTGCTTTTGGAAGTACGTGGGGAAGAAACAGGAAATTTACTGCCTTGCACAAGAGACACATTACTGAATCAGGAATACAGAGTAGAGTTCTTCTTTCATTAAAGAAAGAGCACCTTCTTGTACAGTGAGTCTAAATTGAGCTCAACTACGTGAATTGTGACAAGAGTTTGCACTTAAGGAATTATGTAAATATGTCACATTATTTTGTTTAAAACTATTTTTTCAATCTTTTAGGAGATAAGTGTTTGACTTGTACTGCAGTTTCATTAACCCCAGCCTGCTCTCCGGCACGTTTGCTGAGCTCTGCTCTAGATGGGGGAGTGACCCCCCCTGGCAAAACCTTAGCCTGTTGTTGGTCTTCTCTTGACAAAGGGTAGACCAGGATAGTCAAGAAACACAGTATTTGTACTGACTGATGACAGAGCACCGAAGCAGGAGCTCTGCACGGGCTCGCTCACCAGCTCTAAATCCAAGTTCCCATTTTTCAGATGTGGAAGGCATTAACATTGTGCCAGCCTTTCACTTCTGACCTGGCTGTTTCCGGAAGGCATACTGGGTTGTGCAATATTGGCTGATGGGTTTGATTGGCATATCCTCTCCTCTTCAGGGGGTCAGTTGCAGTAACCTTGTTTGAAGGAAGGTAGTGTCTGATTTCCTACTGGTAAAGACTGAAAGCAACTGTACTAACCATAGGATTCAAGAATTTCAGTCACTAAAACAACTCAGTGACCGTGATGATCAGTAAATCCCAGGAACCATGTAAAGCAGAGATCACAAATATGTGCTGAACTGCCTTTCATTTCAGGCTGTTGGGACTCAACAGAAACGTGCTCTCTGAGGAGGTTCGAGGGAGCTAGCAAGAGCTGTACCACAGTCAAGAGCTGTGTCAGTGCGTGATGCGAGTGAGGTGCCCCAAGCTCAGTCCTGCTGCTTTCTGGGAAGCTTGCTATGCTCCTCCAGACCTCCACCACAGTCAGATGTCTCTCATTTCCATAGAGGATTTTATATTTAGCTACGTATAGGGAAAGGAAAACAAGTGTCTTGTTGGGCCTCACTGTTGCCCGCTGTGGGTGTCTCTTTGTGTTTTAACATACCAAATCAGGCTCGACTCGGCGCAGATTTGCTCAGCTGAGGTTTGGGGTTGTGTGGGGCTGGGGAGGAGGCTGTGCCCCCTGCCTCAGCCCAGTCTTGGGATATCTCTAGTGATGCTCATCCTCACTCCCAGTGTTCGGGAATTCATTCAGTTTGGTTAATTCAAATGAAAGCCATTACAAAATGGTACTCTGTCCTCAACAAGTGGCGCCAGGCTGGCTAGCGAAGTACATGCCGACCTGCGTTCTAATGTATCGCAACGCATCCGCATCACATCGAGGATCTGTGTGGTGTTTCTCTTCCGAAACACAGAACATCAGGTTCACTGATCACATCCAGTCCCATGTTGTCACTGTTGGGGGCGGGTGGGGGCCATACTGCATCTTGGTCAGGTAACAGATCTGTGTATGTTTTTGATGGAAAAGCACTGAATTCACTTTTAATCCAAAGGCCTTTTTAAGATGAAGCAATATAAACAAAATAGGTGGGACAGCTGTTTTGTGAGCGGGGGTCCTCAGCCTGCCTTTCCTCTCCCCATTTGACTTTTACTACTGCTTTTCCCTTTCCCTTCTCTCACGTTGTTCGTAGCGCCCAGAGATACTCCCTGTGAAGCAGTGTGTTTTTCCAAGGAGAGGTGGTGATTTAGTTGGTAACGATAAAGAATAGCGAGTTGCAGATTTAATCATAACAGAAGCGTTTCCTTCCCTGCCCAGCAGAGCATGGCCCCCCCAGAGCAGGATTAGTGGGTGTGAGGTGGCAGGAGCTGCAGCGTATCTTGATCTCCATTTTGCTCGTTTTATATTTAGTGGGGAGCAGCAACCCTGCTTTCTAATTGCACATCACTGCTCAGACACCCAGCAGCGCAGAGGAGGCAAGGCTTAGGAGTGAAATCCATATTTTTAATCCCAAACTGAAATCTCAACAAAAAAAATCACATAAAAAATTGCTGGCGTGTGCATGCAGGCTGCACATGTGCCCAGTGGTGGCTGTAGCCCAGGAAACACCCCACTGGTCTGTGTGTGCACGTGCGAAGGGTTCCTTCTCCTGTTGTTACCCTGTTGCTACCCTGTTTCTACCCTGTTGTGCTGTCATGGGAATAGCTCCGTCCCTGGGTGGCCACGTCCATTGGCACCAATTTGGAGGGCAGCCATTACTGCCTGCCTCCATCACTGCTTCGGTAACAGGAATTTCTGCCACTTTAAATCTCAGATGCAGTGTTGAAAGGTTGCAAGCTGCCATCCCTGGGCAGTGCAGGACTGAGAGCAGGGCCTGTCTCTTATTAATGCCTCATCTAGGCTTGAAAGGAGTTACAGTAGTGTAATCCTTGGGCAGACACATCCATTCCTGTTCAAGACAGATCTCCCAGTATAACTAATTTAAAGACTGTTGCTAGTTACAGATGAAGTGAAAATGTCATTCTTGCCTCAAATAAGAGTAAAGAGGTTTTGCTGGCATAATTGGGTCAATTCTGCTCATACCTTGGCTTTTTATCAATGGGATTTTTCAAGGCTGCTTAAGAGGGGAAAGGAGGAGAAGATGCAGGAGATCTGCCACCTTGCCCTTGGTGCTCATGGGCTTTTCAACCTGCTGCTGGGCCTGTTCCATTCTCTAACACAGTCACCGACCCTGGCTGAGGGGTTTCTTGTTTCTCCCTTTAAATTGTAGAGGAGTCCCCTTGTAGCACGAGGGTTCAGATGGCTCCTGGCAGTGGGGGAAGCTGCCCCTTCCCAAGCAGCCCTGTAGGAAGCACAGCAGCTTGGCTTTAGTGAGCCCCAGCTGGGGTGTGTGGTGAAGATCCCTGTGGCTCCAGACTCGTGTTGGGCATCTTGTGTGCTGACTCAGACGTTTACCACTCTGTTCAGTGCCTTAGTTATCTTTTAATGGATCAGCACTTTGCTTGGGCTACTTTACTTCTATTTCTTTTTAAGAAAATAAATTCTTTTAACTGCATGTCTTTGATTTTAACATGTGCTATGAGCTACTAGGTGCAACTTGATGGAACGATCTCCACAGGTTTGTGAGTGGGCATTAAGTAGTTAGGAAGTCATTAGACATAATGGGGCTCAGTGTAATAATCTGTGCAAGTACAGGTCGCCATTAACGCCTTCAAGTCTTTGAGTGTTTTACGCTGCTGGTTGCTGAGTCATGTATTTTAGAAGAGGGAAATCCAGCAGCCAGTTTGGGAGAGTTCCCCCCATAGCATCAGCCCCTGCTGCTGCCACATCAGTGTGGAGCTGCTGCTGGCACTCCCCACTCCTCCCATCATCTGACCTTCCCACTGTTCCTTCCAGATGGTCAACAAACCTGTGTTCACACAGGGTTTATAAATGAAACTACTGTCATGACATAGTGAAAAATATTACTTTGACACCCCCCCCCCCCCGCCTCAGGTATTAATAGTGCTATAGTAAATGCCATCATAAAAACTTAATTTTCTGAGATAAAATGTTTTCAAAGCCTAATGTCAAACTATGTTTGTGGCAGTAAAAGCAACTTGCATAAGAAAAGATACTTGGATTTAAATTCTCCCTTTCGAGCTACATCCAAGTCCTGCAGCCTGAGAACTAGAAATACAGACTAAGCCATGGAGTTTAACTTCCCAACGCAAACTCCCCACACACACATATTGATGCAGTGGAGCCGTGAAGGCTGCTCTAAATGAGTTTGGGTGTTGAGGCAGATTGGCAGCACAGGGACCGGCTTTTGAGTGAAATGTTCATGTCCCCTCTTAAACCAAAAGGAAGGACCACAGTGCCAGATGGACAGGCTGCTTGGCAAAGTTTATGGTAGTAAGGAATAGCTGATGGACAGCAAGTTCCTCGTGAAGTTACAGCCAGGAGCTGTCCTCAGGTCGTAACATTAGGTGAGTCTCGTTCAGGTGCAGAGATCATTTTGGGCATGGCGTATGCAGTGGTAGGTTTGAAGTGGGCTGAGGCATCTCTGGTGGGGAGATCCCAGAAGGATGCCCTGCCTGGACATCCTCCTGCCTCCCTGGAGGTGGATGGTCTCCATCGCAGTGCAGAAGTGCCAGGGTAAGCACGTGGCCTGTGGAAGGGCTGAGGCAGAACCCACTGCTGCTCCAGGGGCAGGTGATGGCACACATCAGTGCTGCAGTGTGGAAAAAAGGAAGGGGCTGGAGTGTCTCCATTGGAAGGCCAGCAGCTTCCTTCACTGGAACCCCCTCACCAGGGGCTCTTGGAGCCCTGGGAAAACCTTTCAGTCTCACTTGGGAGTTGTGCTTAGGCTCTGTTGTTTGAAGACCACAAAAGTTGGCCCTCGGCACCTGCCTTTGCCTCCATGGCTGTCATGGTTTTGAGAGGGGAAGGCAGGCAGATGCACGCTGAATTACCTCTGGCAATGAGCACGGATGAATTGTGGCAGTGGTGCAGGTGTGAGGAGGCTGTTCCAGGTTGTTGCTGCCTCTGGCTGACCCATGGCGTGGTGGTCAATGTCCTGGCATCCCTCACGTTGCATGGGGAGAGCGGTCGAGTGCATGGTCAGAGGGTGACAGCCAGAATTCTCTTTGTTGCCTAGTGTCAGTTTCTTTTTTTAATGCTATACATTTGATATAACTGAAGATCAATTTTAAAAGCTTACAGTAATATATTTTAAGTAATATATATTTTAGTATATGTAAAAACAGTGGACAAAGGAAGATTTATGAACTAGAGGAACAAGGTATTGGGACTCAGCAGTTTCCCAGCAAGGCCAGGAATAGTTTTACTAGCAGGAAAACTGACAAGATTCTTTTTGTTTTTCCACTAATGCAATAAAAATAGGAATTCTTAAAAAGAAGAACTCCAGTGCTGTTTACCGCATGCGTTTCTTGTTTTGACAACAGGCCTGTAAACACAGTTCTGAAGATACTGAACCTTTGTCTCTCTTTTGCCTTTTTAAAAGGGACTTAAATTGGAATAGAGGGTATGTACAGAAAAATCAAGTTGACACCATTTTAAAATGTATTTTTACACAAATAATATAGAAAAAAAATCATATTTTACATAAGAATTTTAAGTATTTGAAATATGTATATATATACTGTATGTACTTCATATATTCTTTATTTTACATTTTCAATGTATTAAAAAGTATTTGAGCTGGTTGGATTTGAGCATGTAATAATGTTTAAAAAAACAAAGGAAAAGCAGAAAAGAGGGGGAGAGGAGGGACGTGCTGCCCCATGCAGCAGCAGCAGCCACGGGGTAGCACAGGAACCAGGAGTGCCCAAGCAACTGAATTTTGCATGAGTTTGGCAGTTCTGGGTCGAGCACACAGAGCAGTTTTCAGTCCTGTGTCCTGTTTGTGTTCATTCTGCTGCGTAACCACCCCGAATGACCTATGGGGAGAAGACAAGGCGTTGAGGTGGATCTTTTACCCCAGCAATGCTACTGTTCTAGCCAAAGAGATGTACTGCTACAGAAGCTACTCAACCAAAACAAAGCTATACAGTTTTGCTCTGCCACTGACATTTTAATGAACAGCTTGATTTCTGATGCAAGTATCTTACGATGCTTATGGGAAATTCAAGCAATATACCAAAAGTCCAGCAATTTCAAGGAAGCACTATGAAAGCAGATGTGGT